TAATAATAATAATAATAATAATAATAATAATAATAATAATAATAATAATAATAATAGAAATACAGTGTTGAACTAGCTTTGATGGAGGTCAACAATAGAAAGCTGCTCAAAGTGCAGCAAATCAAGAATCAGGAAAACAGCGATGCAAACTTGGGCTGACAGCTGGTGTAACAAAGCACTGCATGGACAGTTCCTTGAAAAGATCCAAGGAAAAGTAGATAAGGAAAAGACCTGGTTATGGCTGACCAATGGAACACTGAAGAAAGAGACAGAAGGCCTGATTCTTGCAGCCCAAAAACAAGCCATCAGAACAAATGCAATCAAAGCCAGAATAGAAAAATCTGCTGGTGAGTCCAAATGCAGACTGCAAAGAAGCGGACAAAACCATCAATCACCTACTGAGCTGTTGCAAGACAATAGCTCAGACTGACTACAAACAATGTCACAACACAGTCGCTCAGATGGTCCACTGGAACTTGTGTCACAACTACCATCTGCCTGTAGCAAAGAACTGGTGGGATCATAAGCCTGAAAAAGTGGTTGAAAATGAGCATGCAAAACTACTGTGGGACTTCCGAATACAGATTGACAAAGTTTTGGAACACAATACCCCGGATATCACGATTGTGGAGAAGAAAAAAGTGTGGATCGTTGACATTGCCATACCTGGTGACAGAAGAATTAATGAGAAACAACTTGAAAAAAATCACCAAATATCAGGACTTGAAAATCGAACTGCAGAGACTCTGGCATAAACCAGTGCTGGTGGTTCCAGTGGTACTCAGTACACTGGGTGCTATGCCTAAAGACCTAGACAAGCACTTAAAAACATTTGGCACTAACAAAATCACCATTGGTCAGATGCAGAAGGCCACCTTACTGGGATCTGCTCACATAATCTGCTGATACATCACGCAGTCCAAAATGCTTGGGAAGTGTTCAACTAGTGATTTGTGATACGAAATCCAGCATAGTTATCTCGTTTTCTGTGTACACTGTTGGTTTTTGTGTATAACAATAACAATAATAATAAAAATATATCATTAATAGTAATAGCTGCCTTGGGTGCAATCCCAAAACATCTGGAGCTTCAGTTGAACATCATTAATACCATCAAGCAACAATAGCTGCCTATCTAGGTCCTTGGGTGGGATTTTACAGCTGGATAAATACGCTAAATCCAGTCTAAACATCTGGCTGATCATGTGACCAACCATAATCACACAGTTGGTCCCACATGGATACAGTTATATAGAAATCATACTTTACCATTCAAACATAATTAGAACAATTTTGTGCCATGAAGGTGATATCAACTCCTACTAACTACATTATATATTTTCTTCAAGATTATTAAACTAGATTAAATTATTAATTTTTTTTAACATTAACATCTATTGAGAATTTATACCTGGGGATTTTGAAAACAAGTTTTTGAACAATAACTGAAAAACTCCTCATCCCTCCATTTGTTCTATCTACAAATAGGAAGTGAAATAAAAACACAGATATGCTATCATTACTATTGAAACATCCTCACCATTTAAATACCATTTTGATGACTCTATTCCATTTTATTGAAAATTCTATCTCTTGGAAGAAAAATATAGGCATATGACAATGTTGCTACACATATTTCATTTCATAATATAGTACTGAAAAGAAAGAAGAGATAGGAGGAAAGCAGGGGTGGATTCTATGTTTCTGACCGGTTCTATAGAACCCCTTGTTAACTTTCTAAGCAGTTTGGAGAACCAGTAGTTAGAAGAAATCACCTTTTGTTTTTTTTTCAACCTTATTACATTCTTGGCAGTATGCTTAGACTTACTGTCTCCAAAGGAGCTTTTTTTTCTTGATACTTTCTTAAAGGGGAAGGGTTGTTTTAAGCTTTTTACACTGCTGTTGGGAGGAAATACTCCCCTGGAAATACTTCTTCTTGGTTAGCTAGAAAGATTGACATTCTAACGTGAGTTTACATACCATTTCTCAGTTTTGGTTTAAAACTGGTTTTTGGTGAAGTTGAATTCTGTGCTTGGTCATGTTTAATCCTGTGTTTATTGATGGGATAATTTTCCCTATTCAGCTTTGTTTGGAAGAAAAAAGATTAATCTCTGTTCCTGAAAAGAAACTGGTTTGAGAAATCTGGCTAGTTCCTGTGTCTATTTGTTCTGGTAATTGGTTTAACAAGCAACAGCTACTGTTGTGATTTAATTATTTGTATTGTGTTTGAATTTGTTCCTGCCTCATGGTTTCTTTTTCTATCTGGGGAGGGTGGGGTCTTCCTTCACTGCTTTAGTGGTATCTGGCACTGTCCTTTCCAAGAGGCAGGATGCAAGCTTGGCACTGATTTTTTTACTGCCTTTCTGGGGGGCATGTGACCGTTCCTTAAATGTGGATGATTTCCGATGTTGCAATATACAACTGTTACAATAAATGGATGCTAAAAGTTGCAGTGGTCAACCTTGTGGAATGCTGGCTGGGAGGGGCGCTGGCTGGAGAAATGAAAGTTATGGGAGAAGGAGAAACGAAAGTTATGTGGGAGAAGAAAGTAACTGGGCAGGGCTAAGAGCAGAGGTGATAAGACCCCAGCAATGGTATAGTTTTGTATTAGCATAATTATGTAGTTTACCTTATAAGGAAAAATTCCCTGTTCCTGCTATGACGCTTGCAAGCAACCTAATAAAAGGAGGTACCTGCCTTTTGTTCAGGGCCTTTTCATCCCGAGTAAACATTGTGTCCGTGTGTTTATTCATTTACCATGAGAGGCCCAGGGCTCTGAACTCAGACCCTGCCCGTCGCCAGGGTGTGGGCAGCAAAAAACCACATTCCTTAGGATATCTTGTGAGGTGAGTGAGACCAGCTGGCATCTTTAAGTGGTGCAATGGATCTAAGGATTGCTTTTCCTGGGTGTGCTCTTTCTGGAGAGTTTAAATGACCTCTCTGCTAAAGGGTTTCACTTTATGAGCAAGAGTTGGCTGCTGATAGTTATCAATGTATTTTAACTATTTTAATTCCTCAAGGTACTCTGGCACCCTGCCTGATTTGTAATTCTGGCTTGCAGGTATTTAATCTAATGACTGGTATTTAGGGCAGCTTTTTGCAAGCAAAGAAGCTTTTTGTATTTTTGTACAGGTAATCCTTGACTTACAACAGTTCATTTAGTGACCATTCAAAGTTACAGTGCCACTGAAAAAAGTGACTTATGACCGTTTTTCACACTTACGACTGTTGCAGCATCCCCACTGTCATGAGAAGCCAGGTGAGAAGAAGTGCCCCTTGACATGAGTGATGTCAAGTTGGGCATGCCCACTCAGTCACATGATCATCAAGCCACACCCACCAACTAAGCCACGCCAACAAAACCAGTTGTTAAAAAATGTGAATCCCACCCCTGGAGGAAAGGCAAGGAATCTGTGTTCATTTCTGGCCTTAAGATTCAAAACAGGATCCATTTTTACCAACCTACTATAGAGATGGGAGGGAGATCCGGGATCTTGATTTTGTTATTATTTATTGGATAGTTGTCTGAGTTCTGCTTTTCCTCAAATATCATGTAACAATAGCTGGTTGTAAGCAACATGCAGCAAAGAAGGAAGCTCAGGAGAAAATTCTTATATTCCATTCTGGAAAGCAAAAAAGAAAATATGTTTTTGCTAAGGTCTCAGATATCTGAGGAAAAAAAGGTAGGTCATATATCAAAAGTATAACCATTTTTTTTTAGCATCTGTGTTTCTTTGTCCTCCCTCCTCACTTATCATTCCTTCGCCATAATGGACAATTCCATTTTTAGTCTGCTACAACAAAACAGAAAAGTATAGAAAGGCACATTCATCATTGATTAAAATGAGATGATATTTGATCAATAAAGTTAAATAATTATTGCATAAAGAAGCGGTTTTAAATCCTTTTTCATCCTTTCTTGAATATCCCAATGTGCCGAGTGCATACGTATCCTTGCAAGAAGCAGTTCTGAATCATCCAATAAATACCTCTGTGAACACTGAAGCTCAAAACCAACATAAGCACCATTTACATATTTGATTGTGGTCACCATAATGTCTCATCTAATTTCAATTAAATAATTCTGCAAAACACTCAACCCAGGAACAAATATGAAATCTCTAGTTTATGATTTAGAGATACCGTTTGCAAAAACTCATATATCCATTGCTTAAAAAGGTTGGTTTGGTAAAATATATATGAGTCAAATACAGAAATTCACAATTGGATGTAGTTTATATATGTCTATTCACTTATATTTTTATTATATTTGTTTATTTATTAGATTTATTTGTTGCCCATCTTGCCTGAGGCAACTCTGGGTGGCTTACAAAATTAAAAGCTATAAAACCGTAAAACATAAATATTTTAAAAACGATAAAATAGAATTTACCAAAAAAGCACGATTACACTTAAAATATGGGGAAGGGGAGAGCAGGATGCACAAAGGGGAGAGGTTTTATGTTTGGGGCAACGTTAAATTTATTTATATAGCAATTACTTTTTAGGTATGTGACATTAGAGCAATTTCAAATTGTACAATTATTTTCTTCATTTAAAAACCTTGCAGAATGAAACATAACACCAGAAAAAAAATCTGTTCAATGAACAATGTTACAATGTTCATTCCACTATATGATACAGTAGAAAGTAAGCTAATTTCTCCTCTGGACATCTATTTCCCCTTTTTTTTATTCTTGCAATTTTCCTTTATTTTTCTCACACCTTCAAAATACTTTCAACCATCTGGTAAAAGTTTTAACATATAGGCACTCGCGTATAAATACATTAAATAGACAAAATGTGTTTGTTAGTCAATAACTAAGATAACATATCGAGTGTCTAGAAATTGTAGTTCATACTTAATATATATTACTATATATATTTCCTTTTTTGTGTAATAATATTCAGTTAAAAAGGTGGGGGTAAAATTATCTATGATAAAAATAAACAAAATATCACTTTAATTCTTTAGGAGGCAAATTTGACAATATTTACAGACTATTTTGAAATGCTAATATTTTCTCTTCTTTTAGCATCAAAATAACTCTTACCAAACACTACCAAACACTACAAACAATTACTTAATTTTGCCAATGTAAATATCCAAATACCAGTATAATAATGTTATACTGTAAATATCCAAATATCAGTATAATAATGTTAGATTCCTTAAAGAATAGAAATTCTAGAATAAAATTTAGATATTTAACATCCATAGAATTAAAGAGGCACAGAACTGCGCATGAGAAAATGAGAAAGGGTTTTTTTTAATCCATAGAACAAAATTGAGTAACAAGGTTGAAATCAACCAATTACAAAAGAAATAAAATTTTGAACTTTGCTGATACAGAAACCAAAATACAATTCACGTATGGCATGTTTGGATTTCATTTTTTTTCCAGAAATTTGTTAATCACAGCCCTTAAAACATAGAAAAACAAAAGAACAACACATAAAGTAGGAAAAACAATTACTCTTACCTTCAATTGACATTTCAAAAATATTACATATATGCTATCTTTATTGCAGAAAATACAATCAAAAATGGCAAAATCAAAACCAAAACTTTAAAAATGCAGAATTTCAAAAGAAATATTAAATGTATTCATTTACTTTAATCCAAATTCACATAATAATATGTTTTAAAAAGCCCCAAATGGAGATTATAATAATTTTCCCCATAAACAAGCCACTGCTTACAATATTGATTTTAAATATAAAAAAGAAAAATGAAAAGATGGATAGAAAGATTATTCCAGATATTGTTTGGCTGGTTCTTAATTAAATTTTTCATAGCTATCTTAAAAAAGAAGAATCCCAGGAAATGTTTACGAGTTAAGGGATAGAACTAAAAATTATGATAGAGAGATTTATCCTACCTAATTGGCAAATGACTATTATACTCACTGCTCACTAGTAAAAATTAGAGCAACTTTTCTCTATGTTGTCTTCTTCGCTCTAGGAGAATATGGGTAATGCCCCTAGATATTAGATAGAGGCCCCTCCCTTTTTTCCAGGGATCCTGTAATTCACATCTGTTTGTAGCATACCTGGGCTGGCTTGCTAGCTGTCCACAATTTAATTTGCTGCATACGGCAACGTGATTTTACTGATGATAATGTGTGTGTGTGTGTGTGTGTGTGTGTGTATATACACATAATACACACACACACACACACACACACACACACACACACACACACACGTAAGTAAAGTAATCAAGAGAGATTTCTACTAACTTTAAGGAAAATGTCACCAGATGCATTTCAGATACAAATAATTTCAAATAATTGAAAAATATCCACTAATACTTCCAGCCCTGATTTCTTTTAATAAGGACTAACCCTGTTTGCTGCCTAAGAAGAAAATTACTGTGCAAAATAAAATAAATTATCAATATTTTTTAGCCCTTTTCTGATATTAATTTGAAAAAGAAATTATAAGTTAGTAATTGGCTACAACAGAAAGAGCAAATAACCTACCTGAAATATTTATTTTAAAAGCCTTTCTTTTTACTAATATTGATCAGCAAGATAAATTTCAGTATTTTGATATATTATAAAACTGTTTTACAGCACTCTTTTTAAATATTTTCCCATGTTTAGGAATAATTTTCAATAAAACATTCTTACCCATTTTTGATCATTACATTTAATAAAATTGTCTTTTCTCCCTTTTCTCTGAATTAAGGAAAAAAATTGAAGAAAAGCATAAGAAAGTATAAAAATAAAGTGGAACTATATTCTTTAAATCAGAACCTGGACTAATCAAGGTTCTACTTCAAATAAAAGGTGAACTTATTGGAAACAGAGTGTATGGCCAACAGAGCCTCTGATCATCTCCTTCCATAGCATCACTGCATGTCCCCTCATTTTCCTAAATTGCCAATGGCCATGGCAGTAAGAACAAATGATAGCAAGTATTATTGAGCAAACAGTTATAAATGGAAGCATTTCAATGAAAGTTTCTTGGGGATCCCCCAAACCTAAAACTGACACTGAATGGATGTCTTGTTACGGTGCTTCTGAAAAGTGTTGAACTGATTATACAATCCAATCATTTCTCTCAATTTCCATCACAGCCATTACCGATTCTTTTTTGCTCATTTTCAACAACACACATATACTAACACTGAGAAGATAATACAGCTTTCTTTTTTTTGGTGTGTATGTGTGTGTTTCTAATTCTTTAACTGCCTTTTCTGTGTTTATATTGCATTTTATGTTATTGTATATTATGAACTTTGCAAGGTCATTCGGTTTTCTCCCTGTCAATTTTCAATGTCCATTGTGTATGTAGAATACCATAATTATGAATACATTTTCCCTTTTATTTACATATCTCATCTATTCATTTATATGATTTGTATCATTTCTGTTAAGGCTTTCTATTATGCCTTGCAAGATATATTACTCTTATAAAGAAGCCAAAACAGAATCAAATATAGAGTGCAGTTCTATGCATGTTTTCAAAATCATTAAAAGTCATGAGACTCAGACTCAAGGAAATAGATGTAAGATTGTACTCCAGCATGATTTCAATTAAATTATTTTGGTCTACAATGCTGTGGTCTCCAAGAAAGGATTCTCACTGACAGGAGGATGCTGTTCTGACCCAAACCTGGTTCCAGGGAAGCAAACATGAGACAAAGGTAACAGCACAACACTTAAAACAAGATGGATCAGCAACATTAGCAAGTATTGAGGGCCCAACTGGCAAAAGAAAGCTCAGGACAGGTTTTTTTGGAAACATGCGGAAAGAGGCCTTCATTCATGCAGTGGAGGACAATGGGTAAAATGATGATGATGATGATCAATAGTAGTGGTAAAATATATCTCGAGAAGAAATGGTGTTGCTCTACTTGCCTGATATCACTACACAATCTAAACACATCTACCAATATGCTAAAAACAAACTGGAATTTTTTTTACGTGCACTTCATTAATTGCAGCAGAGAACAAGAACAGAAGGCAAATTTCATAAAAGATGGCAATTCTGACTTGAAGAAAATTATGTGTATTCTATTACAGAGCATAGATTCCATTTTTACTAAAACAAAAATAAAGAAACAAATCTTAATTGAAAGGATATAGAAATGTTGACTTTTTCCTCCATTGGTGTATATATACAAGGTACTCAACTCTATAAGTCATTTGGTGACATCAAGTGCTGCAATAAACTCCATTAAATAGAACTGGTGATGCTTGATAATTTCAGTGCCACAAAGTACAAACTGTCTTAAATAAAATTGAAGTTAATTTTATTATGCATTTGAGATTGTGTATTCTTTCTCACCTTTTTATTATGTTTACACTGGAATGATGGGAATCAAAAGTTTATAATTAAAAAAAAAGACAGAAGCAATTTCAGTTTACTTTGAGTGAAAAAACTTGGCCTTAATTATTATTTTGTAAAGTAAAAAATGATTTCATGGGGACATCAATATATATCATATCTTGGTATTTTATCTTTTAAAAATATAAATATTCTACTCAACTGTTTCCTCCTCCTGTCACCTAAAAATAAATTATCTATCTGAAGAAAGAGACACTTGGTCTTTAGTAGAAACTTTGCATTCAAAGTAATCTAATGACTGAACTTGGCATGGAACTAAGACTTTATTGCAGTTAGTTATGCCTACATAACATAACATATACTTGGAAGGAAGAGCTTTGCATCTGAATATGAATTTAATTTCACATTTTGGGACTAATACATGCAAATAAAAAGTAAGGGGCGTGCATAAGTGCACCATCGTGCCTACCATCCCTGTCCTTTTGTCCCCTTTATTCATACCTATTTCCTGTATTCTTACTCATGTTTATACTTATACCTATTATCTTGTAAGCGACTGACAATAAATAAATAAATAAAAATAAAAATACTGTAAGAACTTATTTTATAGCTTTTGTAAAGCTCTTCAAATTTCACAATGCAGTTTATCAATAATTACAAACGAATGAAAGATTGTTTTTAAAACTTTGTATTATACAAAATTTCAGAGATATCAAGAAATTAATCCCACCACCAAAAGCATTTCAAAATAGAGGGCTGAATTATATGAGTGATTTATGAACCGCACAAACATATTGAACACATTTAATTTTCCATGCCCTGGTGAAAAAAATAGAAAATATCTTACATCAGATATCCCCAGGGCTGTGTGCCCTCTCCACTTCTCTTCTCTCTATACACTAATGACTGCATCTAAAAAGTTCCCTCTGTTAAAGTACTGAAGTTTACAAATGATACAATAGTGATCAGTCTCATTGAAGACAACGACAAACCTTGCATACAGACGGAAGGTTGAACAACTAGCCTTGTGGTGTGACCGGAACAATCTTGAACTAAGCACACTCAAAACCATAGACATGGTGATAAATTTTAGGAGAAACCCTCCTATATTACCACCTCTTACAATACTAGACAACACAGTATCAACAGTAGAGATCTTCACGTTTCTAGGTTCTATCATATCTTAAGATTTAAAATGGACACCTAACATTAAAACATCATCAAAAAAGCACAACAAACAATGTTCTTTCTGTGCCAACTCAGAAAGCTGAAACTGCCCAAGGAGCTGTTGATTCAGTTCTACAGAGGAATTATTGAGTTCTGTAACCAAATAAGACACAGACTTCAATGGATAAGTAGAACTGCAGAAAAAACAATTGCTACCAACCTGCCTTCAATCAAGGACCTGTATACTGCATAAGTCAAAAAGAGGGCTGTGAAAATATCTATAGACCAGAGGTGGTATTCAGCAGGTTCTGACCAGTTCTGGAGAACCAATAACGGAAATTTTGAGTAGTTCGGCAAATACCACCTCTGACTGGAGAATTTACAGTATCCTTCCCCTGCCACGTCACCAAGCCACGCCCACAGAACCAGTAGTAAAAAAATTGAATCCCACCACTGCTATAGACCCCTCACATCCTGGACATAAATTGTTTCAACTTCTACCTCAAAATAATGTTATAGAGCAAGGTACAGCAGAATAAGTAGATACAAGGACAGTTTTTTCCCAAATTCCCATAACACTGTCAAACTACTGTATTTATTAAGACTGTATTCTATTATTCTTCTCATCCTTCCTATTACCTATCTCCTCCCATTTATGACTATAACTTTGTTGCTTGTATCTTTATGATTTATATTGTTTTATTTAGTTTCCTAGTATGATTTGATTCCTTATTTAGTATCCTATGACTATCACTAATTGCTTTATCTTATGATTCTTGATGTATGTATTTTTTTAATGTACACTGAGAACATATGCATCGAAGACAAATTTCTTGTGTGTTCAATCACACTTGGCCAATAAATAATTATATTTCTAGGTGAAGAAGAAGAGAATACATATTATTCAAATACCATTATTGCCATATGAGCTTTTAAACCAGCAGGCCCAATCAAAACTGTGCTTGCATTTAGGCTTATCAAACAAATTGTAAATGCATCTATATCCTCCAAACACTTGTTAAACTACTGGCAGACACAATTTGATATATTTTCAATTACTTTGGTAATTGCAGCTGGAAACAACTCAAGAACGGAATACCCAACACTTGAATAGCCATTCAGTCAATGATAAATAATCAGATTTGTGTTATTTATTTTGGATGTGTCACAATAGATAGTTTTTCAAAAGATTGCTGTAGTAACTGTAAGGCTCCTTTGGAAGTCATACGAAAACATGATATATTTTATTTATTTATTTATTTTTATCAATTAATATGCATTTTATTTATCTATTCACTTATTATACTGGTCCTGTCATTTATTTTAGTCTGCGTCACATGTCAACATTTATTGGTGAGTGGAGGAAATCTTCTGGATTGGCTTCAACTAGATTTGATAAACTAGACTGCTCAGGTAGGTAAAATGGACACCGTTAAGGATTGTGATTTATTCTGTCTGCTTTCCCTTTTTTAGTTGAATCATCTTAC